GATAAATCAAACGAATCCTGTTACTGAACCCCTCTTCATCTATGGTTGTTGTATGGATTTTTTTTCGTTGATAATTCAGTTACAACAGAACGAACGGACCTGCAGGATGATGCTTAAGCAGCCTTATTGGTTTTAGAAATCATGGCTTATATTAATATTTGAACCTGGCTGAAGAACATACATAGATGTTGGAAAGATGCAAAACATTGGTTATCAAACGTTTCGACATATTTCTCGCTCTTCTGCCTTGATGGAATCTGGAGTGGTCTCTGGTCGTTGAAATATATTGTCAGAACAAGAAGACTTTACAAAAATAGAAACAGCTCGAAAGGTTAAGTTTCATACCTCATAGGAACTTTCAGCACTATCATTCAGTTTCTTGCCTCTGAGAATAATCATGCAGCAAGTGTTTGATTTATGGTTGAGGATGGTTAAGAACGAAAAGAAATGCTAACAATGTTTGCTCTCAGCGTTTGACGCTATCCAGCTATAAGCTGTATCGTTTCAATCTGGTATTCTTAAATTTAAATATGTTCATATCCATTGAAGTAATACTGCGCATAACACCAAGTTGTCCAATAACGAACATTGTATTGCACTGCCACGTTGCTTGTCGATTTAGTTGCCCGTGGATTTAAATAGATCATTGCTCAATCGATTTGAGTATCTACAGTGCCAGATGCACCTCACATCATTTTGGCAGTTGAAGTCACCTCGCGCTCACTATCAACGGTATTTCAGGGGCTTGTATTTCTTTTGTACTACCGCATAAACAACACAAGTTGTTCGTAAACACGGGTATGTCTAATAGAGCAGGATTGTTCCAAGGCCAGGTTTCATTAAAGTGTTCTAAGGTTGCTACAGAATTCTATGGAAATGCCTACAACGAAAATCTTCGAGTATTGAAGCTATAAATCTGACATCCATTTCAAACCCGCAGCTCATCCGCTAACTCCAACGTCCATGTTTTTACTCTACGCAATGTTGAACAATTAAGGTACATTTTTAAGCGAAGATCTTATGCTCAGCAGGCGACTAGTAATGGTATGTGCTTCAGTTGAAGGTGTATAAACGTCTATCAGTGGCAGTCCCAACGCAGTTGAGGGAAATTTGCCTGATGGTAAAATGCCTAGTGCTCTTTTAGCGCAAAGTCTGAGCTTGAGGAACAGTCTGTCCAGGAGATCCAAGATTGGACGAACTTGGCGAATCCATAAATCTACACAGCAAATTTTGCTGTACATCCAACCCCAACCTAACGCAACACACGATGAATACCCCAGCGATGGAAGAAAGAGGCACATACAGTAGGCATTATTCATTGACAGTGATAGAGGATACCAATGATCACGAAATGAATGAACCTGGCTGTGTCTGTAGCCAGAAAACTACTTAACCACCAGCAAGAACCATAAGCCCGTGTACCGGCTCCAAACAAACCACCGACTGCATGTCATTCGAACAACTGCCAAACGTCTATAAACAATGGCCTGTGAGATGCAGACCAAAACGCCGACTTCAGTCTGTCATTCGACAGTGGCGAGATGTTTTAGACCACCTTTTTACTGAAGTTGGATTTTAGTCAAGAACATTTTCTGAACATTTATAGTCAAGCATATATATTACTGAAAATTTTAGTACCTCATCATTTTGACTGAAAATCAAAATATAAAAGTACGATATTCAGGCAGGTCGTTTAGCAACGTAGAAGTAATTCCCAAAAATTTCAAACTAACAAGTTTCCACGAGACTCACCTGCTGAAAATTTATAAAATGAAAGTTTGGAAACCGCCTTCTTGAATACATGTAATCGTAGCGTTTCATTAGATCCCATGGCCCATCGCCAATTCCAATCCTAAAATGATATACTCAGACATGTGCATATTTCATTCAACGGTGTTACCATGAAACATAAGAATATGATTAATAGTGTAATTAGACATGGTATTTATTATTCATTACTAAAGGGCATAATGCAGCTTCAACCGCCCTTAGATTGTCAGCGCCTTTGGTACACTGTAATCTATAAGAAGCAATTCGTGGTGCAGAAACTGTGGCGAAAGACGTATGCATGCAGCCTACTCATTCTGGCGATAAATATGGAACACTGCAGGAAGAAGTCAGAGCAGAAGCGCTAGTCAAAGGGTAGTCGAAGTGGAACTCAAACTTCGCTCCTCTCGAAACATGACTTCTGGCAGAATCACGTTCGTCATTTGAGAGTCTTGTCACTTATTCTTGACCATCGTAATTACAGCAAGTGGCGATGACTGAATATATGTGTAAAACACTTGTATATTCGCGTAAGTTGTTACGTTTTTGTGGTCTTCAGATTCCTTCCTTGGACAAATACACATGTTCGATTTTATGACATTCTTGTTCTTTCGCTTTCTTGTACCGTCAAACGTACATAATGCGGGTCATTATCAAAAATATGCTAACTCGACATCCGCAGGAGAATGTATGGTTTTCAAAGCAGCAAACGAAAGATCAACAAGTCGCCGTCAAAGGTTGCAAAATCAGTTGGCAGAAGAGCCTGAAACACCTGTGACCGAACAACATTCGATGGCCGATTGTACTATTTATTAATAGGTGGTAATTTCTTGGCGTTTAATCGTCTGAGCTGCTCGCTTTTTTTCAATTAGGCCATCTTGTAATGTATGAGTGTTGTAACGTTTTCTATGCGCTGAAAGACCAGTCATTTATAAATCGGTTTCAAGCATCAGAAAGACTGATTGATATTCAGGATACAGGTTGACTTCAAAGGATGAATGCGAATCGTTTGGCGTCACACAAAAAGGTCAGGACTCTAACAAATACCGTAACGCTCGTGGCATTGAACGCTGGCAACGTCGTTCAGGGCAACAGGAAAACAGCCTGTTAATCAGGCTTAAAGTGATATACCTCAGGGTCAACAAAAAAAGACCACATTGAGGTAGATCGAGGCATGTACAAGAGCTGACGGATTGCTTGACTGCCTAATTTAAGTGCTCTGATGCAGTCATGGCAAGAACAGTCAGCTTCAATGATGGCTTTTCATGTGATGCAGAAACAACAGCACACATGAAACTACAAAGCATTTAAAGCGCTGTTATTGATGGGCAGTGATCTGGAATTCAGTGCCCACAGGAGTGTACGCTGTAGAAGTGCAATTGCCGTTTCTCCGATGTGATCTTACAGGCAATTCATTTCTTTGGCTAAAGAACCTTCGAACAGCTTCCTATGTCTCAGTCTATGTTTTAAGAAATAAGAGAACTATAATGCTAATTATAAAAAAATAAATGAGAAATAGAACCGTTAATTTCCATGCGCAAAGAAAGGATGGATGACTTCTCATTATTTGAATATAGATAGTAGAATTGTATTCGGCAGATATGGAGGATACTTTTATAAGCCAACTTTGGTATTTCCATCAGAGAGAGCGTCAGTCATCAAAATGGGCAGATTATGGAGGTAGCAGTAACCGGGTTGAGAGAACCCTTCTTACTTTTTGAGTCAGTTCAGTCTGAAAGAATGAGGCGCCGACTACACGGTAGACGGAAGTACTGTTTTCCTTCCTTATGGTCGACTATGATATGATGAACATTGTCTTTAAACGTGCATCCTAACTAATGAACAGGGGATGAGGGTTCGTTAATGAAACCGAAAAATGAAACTAGATATTTTGATGAAATATACTAGAAAATGAAAGGAAAATAATATTATTTTTGTCAGTGATAATTATTTGTTAACGACTTGTCCTCTGTCAAGGGTGTACCCCGAACGCAAATCGACGCTTCTTCTGTATTCTATATTTTTTGCTTCCTGCCTCCACCACCGGCCAAGTAATTTGACCATCTTGTGTTCTTATGGACCAATTAAATAAGGTTGATCAGACGGAGCCCAGTTTGTAACCCCCCTCTAAATCCGCCATAACTTTCAGACGATAACATGACCGGTGCATTTTTCATTGTAGAAAGCAGAAATTGCGCCTTGATCTAGTCTGTTATCGAACTAGTGCGCTGTGAACGTGATCAGGAGGAAAATCTTGAACTCTCTGTCACACTTTGCTTGGCGATCCATTTGTTTTCCTCAGCTCTAATAACAGACCAACATTCAGCGTCGTAGATCATGGCCTAGAGGACAGTTGAATCTAACAATTCTTCCTTCGCTCGCATGGGTAGCTCACAGTCGAGTAACAATATTTTAATATGGTGAGGGCTGACCTCTCGCTTTCCTTCATCTGCTGATTTCCTCATCTAATTAGTGCACACAGTCTGTCTGAGGATTAAGATATACACGTTGACAACTTCCTCAAGCTTTGGCCATTCGCGGAGAGTGCTCGAAGTAGAGCCATTTCGTCTTGAGCAGGTTAACTGGTTCCGCTGTAATGGTGAGCAATTCTTCTTGCAATCGCTCGATCTTATGTACGAGCGCCATCGTGTCTTAAGCGAAGAAAATACAGTAATGCGCAAATGACATCCGCGTTAGCTGCACTTCCTCCATAATGAAACCGTTGCCCAGTTTAGCCGGTAGAAATGTAGCCGTGGTGAAGAGCACTGATTAGGTGGCATCTCTCTGACGCACTCCTAGATAGATGCTGATGAGACGCGGTTAAGAAATGAAAACTCGGTGTACAAGCTTAGTTCAAGCTTGTACTTTCATTTCGTCGTCACTTCTAACGACTGATTACAGCCCGGTTTTCCAGAGGTGGAAAACAACAAGTTATCATCAACCTCCTTACGTGCCTCAATACAAATAAGCCAACTTTCTTCTTTTCCCTCCTTACCAGTTACGTTCAGTACAGTAGGGCTGCTGGTGCGTATTGCTGATTAACTAATGGTAGGGGAAATTAGAAGAAAATTTTCTCAAAAACTCAGGTTTCCGATCCTCATTAAGTTTAATCTCCCAAATTGCCTCACCGCAGTCCGAAGGCGAAAATGCCTAATTATATCTTTACAGTATAAACACATTTGAGGTTGCTCTTTTCGTCATAGCACAAAAACGTACTCACATTATCATCGATATTGGATATCTTGCCGCATGCGCTATGATCCGTTGGTTAACGATGTCGTTAGTGACTTGACCATCGGCAATGATGACAAGCAAATGGTACTGTATAAAAAACAAAGATTGAAAGCATTCTTTTCGGCTGAGGACAAAAATGAAAATCTGAACTCCTTACAGACAAGAAGTGTTTGCAGAGGTGAGCGACTTTTTTGATCAGCGGAACAAAATTAGTCGAGTCGCCAAGGGTCACCCGAGGAGTTGTCTCGTTGTACACCCTGAGAACGTCGTTGAAGCTGTGACAAACGGTGCCACGCTTGTTCAGTGAAAAAATGGTCTTCTCTGCCGTCCTGGCATCTGCAAATCCATACACCAGTATTCCGTCGGTAACGAAGTTCTGCAAAGCTTTGCCAAGGAAATGAATCGCCTAAAAATAGCTTCATTTAAGGTCTATTATACGGAACCACCGACATTGTCTGGTGGGCACACATTATCCCCGAGCGTTACCTGTTGATATAAATTTGAATGACCCTTTTCGATGGTGTGCAAACTTTTCCCGCGAAAGGAAATTTCGCCTTGGTACAAATTACTGCGACTGTAGTCGATGCCGATCACCAGCCGAACGCTGTCCATTCCGGTGTCCAGTACTTTTTTGTACACACTTTTCAACTGCGGAAAAGCCAGTGCACTCTCCAAAAGCTTCTCTCGATTTAGTTTCTCACTGAAAATAGTTATCATCCAGTTTAATTATGAGCCAGATTCACATTAATGTTTAAAACAAGGCTAATATTAGATAATTCAGACGAGAACGGCAATAATTCGGTTATAAAGTTGGAATTTCAGCAATTATGGAGCAAGGCTCAAATTCAGCCATTGTAGAAAAGCAGGTGCTCCCTTGAGGAACAAACATAGCCATGTCAGCAATTGGACTGGAGGAACAAAAATACGAAGTAGATATCATAACTCTCTTTGCGTTGTATGGAAGACATGTGTATGCCAAAATCAACTATACTTAAAGCGTAGCCGTAATACTTCGTCTAATGATGTATGCTGTACTAGAAGTAAAGTCCCTATTATTAACAATTTATATTTAATCCGTGAAGGGAGTACTCTTACATGAATGCGGTTCTGTTCGGAAGAGGTCCTCCCAAATTAGACGTTGGACAAAAGAGCAGCGGTTCCCATGACCTTGATCCTATACTAGGAACCTTTGTGAATGATGACCTTCCCTTGCGTATGGTATTACAAAACCATGAAATTTTTGCACTTGAAGCCATAAAGATAATTCCCGTAATTCGACTCTGGCAAGCACCTTTTGGCTCGTTACTTTTTGGAACCAACGGTCTTTGAGTAAGGTGTTCAGATGACGTTCACTTGTTTTCAGCGTCGTCGTTAACAAACGTTAATAATAAAATAAAAACGAGATAACAGACGGTTTTAAAATCTCCATTGAAAATGGAATTAAAATCTCCATTGAAAAATCTCCATTTAAAATCTCATTGACACGCGGACGCCAGGTAGTCTCTAGGCTTTTAAATGCGACTACTGCTGAAATAAGTCATCTAACGTGTCGCTGTGGCTATTTTATTGAACTATAGAGAGAAGATATTCGCAATGACCAACTTCTTTGCTTCTAATGCTTCTCGAAGCAAAGAGAAATCGGTTTTTTCTGTTTCTTCTGCCCCCAATACTAATTCCTATTTCTTTCATTGAACCTAAGTGTGTTCCGGCAGCGGCGCATTGAATCGCCCCTCTTATTAGCGTGATGAAAGACATAAGCCGTTATGCGATGGTCTCATTCATCGATCGCTTCTTTTTTCGACATGGGGTTGTGGTCATATCATTCATTACTGCAGATCACTGGAGCAAGACATCTAACAAGCGAAGCTGATGACAAAATCACTTCTGGGTAAGTCGTTCTGTAAGCATTGCATTTAGTTGTCTTATTCTATCATTAGAGCAACTACGTATGCCTATTCTATCTTTTGGAGGCGTTATACAATCCGTCTCAGTCTGCGATTTCTGTGATATTGAAAGTAATAACTTTGTTCCTTATAATCTCGCACTTAGAAATTAGTGACGACTTTATTCAAGCCATGTAGCAGGCGATTAGTGAGCAGATACAGTCATTAATAGTTCACGGACTCCTGGAATGGTACTTTCCTATCAAGATAGACAACAATGGCAGAAGGCAGAAGTGTATATCAAAGTCTTAAAGAAGCCTTCATCTGTCAGCGGATCGGACAAAGGCCTATGATGATTCACGATTTACTGGTGGGATCAGCACGCTACCGTTCGTGATAGCTACCAAAGGACATTGGGATTATATTTTTTCTGGATTAATGAAAACTTTCTAAAGCAATCGGTGAAGACATCAAAGTAAACAGAGAACATCTATTTAAAAGTAACATTTTGGACTGCATCGACACGATTCAATGTCCTTCAGTGTGACTATAGGCTGGGCGAAAAAGCTGAGATATGTGCCTCAGTGCGGTTGAAATCACACTATCTAAATTAGTGAACCATTTGAATAATCATAATTAATAAATTCATTCGAATAACCTTCTCTCTTGGATTTGATAGTGCGAGTTTGATTCAAGTTTTGTCCTGTTTCTTGCTCATATGAACAATTTGACATATTGACGAAAATCGCATGAAAATATACATACTTTGAAACATTCGGAACTTCGTTTCGAACATCAATTGCAAACGCGTAGGATTCACTGAAAATTACGGAATTAAACAAATGAAACCGACAACAAGCATACAAGCATATCATATAGCATATATCCTCAATGCAATGTTTCAAGAAGGGAAGTAAAATTGTTCAGGAAGCACAAAATACATCTTATAAATAAAGGATTTTTGAAGTTCATGTGTCCATTTACCGTACGTTTTTTTTCAAAGAACAAGTTAAACTTGTTTCTGCTTCATTCCTCCCTCAGTTTTCTCATGTGATACTGGGGGAGGGGAAAGCTTCACAATGCATTTCCAGTGATTTTGGCCTCTGAAACCTAAGCAAATTCCACAGTTTGCCCAAGACACAAGATTTCTGCCGTTTTGCTTTAGATCCCGCCATTTCGTAGGGCATTTTTCACATTGCATAATTTTGGCCTCAGTTATGATAGACACATTAGAATTAGCGGTTCTTTTGGTTTAGTTTCTTTGAAAACCCGTCTTCACTCTATTTATGGCATGAGACACAAAGTATTGCAATTTTTTACTTGCAATTTTATATTTGAAACCATCATCAGTCTTTCTTGACCAATTCTGGATTAATGTATCTCTAACTGTTCATAACAGACCTCTGTTTTCTACTATTTTCATCCGTCATTATCCAGTGCACTCCACCAGCACATCCTGCCTTCTATCTGTAAGTTTCCCTACAGTGGTTTGCTCTCTCCTGAAATCCAGTCTAGTGTCCCCTGGTTCAGCGATTGTCAGTTCCTCTTGCAACGTGCCCATTCAATAGTTACCTTGTACTCTTCATCAGGCATAGTTTTGCTTGTTCTTTGCCCATTCCGTCGTCGTCCTCTCTTGGTTTGTTATTCTCACTATGCATATTTCTGTGTCGCGTCGCGTTATCAGCAGTTTATGAATAACCATGAGGCTTAGATTCCAAGTCTCATATTCATAAGTTAGCATTGGGATCACGCACTAATCCAACACTCCACATTTCAAGCACAAGGTCAGTTTTCCGGATAAGAATACTTGCAGTCATACAAAGTGCTCCATTGCGTTTTTACTCTTCTACTGACTTCCTGTAATCGATTCCGTGTTGCAGAAGAAGCTGTTCCAGATGAACGCAGTCCTGCAGTTCTTCAAGTCGAAGTCCATTGACTTCAACAAGTCGCGGGTCACGTATTTGTTGAAAATATCCTGAGACCTCCACAGATTCATTTTCATTTTGCCTATTGCCTCATTTAGCCCTTAGGTTCTTCTTTTAGTTCTTGTGGTGATCTTCATCATCCCTTTAGAAATTTCTGAATCCCTGAAACATTCACTAAAGACAAAATGCAAACTGATTCGAAAGCTTTCTCTAAATCAATGAATGTTAGACAGAGCGCAGGCTGATATTCGTTGTTTGCCTGCATTACTTGCTATACCACATGAAGATGATCCGTTGTACTAAATTACAATAAATATAAATTAAATTACTAAATTCTGCTTAAAATCACGCTTGATCCTTTGACTGCGCAGAACCTAGTTTATGAAGTCCATTCGTCAATACCTTGGTCAAGATTTTGTAGATTATTGGCAACAAACTTGTGGCCTGTGGTGCTTCTGATCCTCTCTGTCTCCTTTTTATATTTAATGTACAGATTGATATTAGATTTCAACGTCGTTTTCGATGTCATACCGCGGATCGAGAAGAAAGAGCTGACTTATTTAATATTACTCACTTCAGCTTTGGGTCTCTTCAAACACCCATTATGATATCGTAGGCAGTTTTAACCAAAACAATTAATCCATAGCTCATTAAAATCATTATTTACACTGAGCTACAAATTGAGTTTTTGTGTTGCTCACTTTGAAGTGAACGCCCTTGGCTTGTGACATTGACTGTATCCACAACTCTTGAACATTTCTATTGCAAGGCCTCGAGCATCGACGAGGTAACAACCTTCTCTGCCTCTTGAGTCACTTGCAGCACCTACATAGCATACATCGCCATAAAAAAGGAAGGTCATGTAGCTTTGTCGACCGTCCAGTTTTGTTCGTCTCCAACTTCTTACACAACACTCTTGTCACTACTTGTAAATCAGAAGGAATGGCCGTGGCGAAACATTTTGGCTTGTTGAGGTAAGACATTCAGAAGCTGCATATTTCACTACTAGGTCTCATCGATCCAGAAAGTGCGTGATCATAACCCTGAATCATTTCATTAGCAGAACGTCTCTGGTTTGTGATGCCTGTTCTGTTCATAGCTTTGGAACACCTACTATAACCCTTGAGGGAACAATTCCTTTTCTGAAACAGATCTGCTCCTATTCTAACATTTGATCGAGCGTGATTTAGAATTTCTCAAATGCTAGCCTGCAGACATACTTTACCAGTTTGTGTGTGAATGAAAAATGTACGTGAAGGATAAATTAGTCAAAAAATTAATATTAGAGTGAAAATATACCTTCCAACGTGATTTAGACCGCGGCTTGAAAAGGACACGAAATTGTTAGCCAGGATGACCATCGAAGCTTCCAAGGAAACGTTAACTTCCCGAAGGTGTGTAGCAGGTTCGTTTCTTGCAGATAGGGAAATGAGGCACGCGGTGACAAGTCAAGGGTAGCGAAGGAGTGGTTAGTCGCTAATCGCCTTAGAGGCGGAAATCCTCAGACCTCACGGCGGTGCGACATACCACTTGAATGAAAGAGAACAGATGATAATCGTTCTAGCGCATTGCACTGATGTTTGTGTTTCAAGAGATGAGAGCAGTTGTCTGTTTACCGATGAAAAGCGGCTTTATGACAGAAAGGGCTCTAAAGCGGCTTTACGATTTTAGGTTGTTTGTAGCTTATTAATCTCCCTAAGTTTCTTTCATTTTCACTGAGGTACCGTGCAAAATGCGGTCCGGACAGCCATTAGCTCAAAAACGGAGAGTAAATATTTTAGTCGAACATTCGCGGGAAACTACAATGTCAATGGTGAATTATTGAGAGAACTTTCATGCATTCCGTTCAAGAGAAGCATGTTGCAGCTTAATGCGTGATTAATATTAATTTACTGTATCTAATATACTA